AATTAAAACTGTCGATATATTTTTCTTTCTCTTTCAATGGGAAAACTTATAAACTCTAAGATTGTTTTAAATTGAAAAAATCAAACCCATACCCATCAGAATAATCAATGTCACAATTGATCAAAATATGTTTCCGCTAATTTCTTTTCCTTTGTTCTTATTGAATTGAATATGGATGGTAATTTTCTATTCTAAAAATTTATTTAAATCCAAAAAAAAAAAAATTTATTTTAGTGTTATCTAATAAGGGAATCTAGCTTAGTTAACAATGTATATAAACCAATTTAAATTTTTATCAAATGGTAGTCCTTCGTAATGGATTAATCCTGAAAGAGCTTTAAGATAAGAGGATTCTTTATCTTATTGTTTGTTTATTCTTTCTTTAGGAGGTTCTCTCTTAAAGTATTCTTAAAACTAAACGTATTAGTATTATTAAAAAAAAATTAAAAGTTAATAAGAACCCTCATCCTTTCACCATTTGTTATTTGCTAATGATCTTATTATTTTCTATCAAGTTAAAAAAGATGAGGTGCAAGTTGCTACGAGTTGCCTTAACCACTATTATGCGTGATTTGATCAAAAAAATTAACAAGCATAAGTCCTTTATTTTCTTTAATAACAATATGAATGTTCCTAAAGAAAATATTAAAATTTATTATGAATCCCAACCTTTTGTAGGATAGGCATAAATACTTAGAGTCTTCTTACTTATAGAGTCATTAAAGCTAAATTTTAAGCACTTTTTAGACAATATGAAAGCTAAGTTAGCCCGTTGAAAAATAAATCATTCTCATTATGTTAATCATATTGATTTTTACTCCAATGTTATTATATTTTATGTGCACATTTACGCTCTCTAAAAATCTTTCTAAGACATATATAATTGCTTTGAAAATCTTTGTAGAAGTTTCTAAACCTTTATATTAACCTCGTCAAGACTAAGTATTTACGAAATCCATAACTAGAAACTCATAACCCTTTTCTTGAAAATGAATTCTTGAAACCAAATACATTTCATTTAAGAGTGCATGTGAAATAGTGAATGAGAGTTCTTCTATTGACATTTAGGTAAGATCCTTAGATTCCTAGTTACATTAATGTGTATTAAAAACTAAAAGATGATGATTTAAACTTATTACTTACATTTAATAAATATACCAATTAATTACAGTAAAATAAATATATTAAAAATAATTTAAATTTTTGGAAATTTTTTAACAATAGTGTTTAGGATTGTTCAGATAATTGTAATAATTAAATTCTTTAATTTTTATACAAAATTTTTACCATTTCAACATTTAGTATCAAATTTATAACAAAATTTATCATATATAATACCACATTTTGAAAACAACATTTTATACAACAAATTTTACTAGATACTATATTATTTTTGCTTTAAATTTATTTTTACTGAAAGTTGCTCATGTTGCAGTTTTAACTGCTCACAAGTTGCTAACACAAGAGCTTTAGCCAATTGGTTGCTCTTCGAACACTAATACAGAACTTCTTGGCTTCTAATCACAAGGTAGGTGCTCTTAAGAAAACAAAGAAGAAACAAAAAGAAAAAATAAAATAAAATAAAGGCCAAGAGGCCTGAGTGTTTTTAGGTATCAAATTTCCTATAATTGTTTGATTCTTTCTCTTCATGTGCTCGCGTTTGTGCAAGAAAATATCATCGTTTAGACCTACTCTCCTCCAACCAAAGCATACAAATTTTTGTCTTCATGCTTATCTGCCAACAAGGACAAGAAAATTTTAGGGTGTTGTCAAACCTCGAAAGCTTCGGGGAAGAAATCAATATCTGTGGGCACAACCCTTCTAAGTTTCTCTAGGAGATCAATCTGCTTGGGCAACACAATTTCAGTTTCCTGGCCTGACATGGAGAAATATCTCTCCAGTAATATCTGCAACAGGAAGCAATAAGTAAGAAAAGCATAGAACATCATAACCTATACTTCTGATCAATTGCTCTCACTAGCTTCCATTCAAAATGTTTGTGCAAGGAAAGCATCAAGTACACTGCAAATACACCTATTCACAGGATTATGCAATTACTCTGCCATGAAATAAAAATTAAATTCAACATATACCACAGCAGCATAGGCATCAGTTCTTCTTTGCCGAGTAGACTTGCTGAGGCCCCTGAAAAGATACCAAATAGAATTATATCCTGCTCTATCATATGCTCCTTCTACATGGGCATTTTGGTCTTAAGCTTGACTAACTATATCCCATCCCATCAATAACATTACATAAATCACTTCAGCTACGAAATTAGAGCAGTAGTTGTTCAGTTTTTTATCAGTGGCAAGGCAAATTATCTTCCACCAATAGAAGAAAACAATAAAGTATAGTCCTTTTAAAGTCTGTTAATCATTGAAACTTACAGTAAACACTCTGTTTTCTTTCATTGCTGCACATAGCCTGCTTAAAATGAGGGACTTTTTTTTTTTGAGAAAATAAAATAAGGAATATTTGCCTCTTCTATTCAAGGTCACTTCCTTAATGTTTTACAGGTCTATATCACACATAATAGTTATCGTCTTTTTCAGTGTTTAAGGGCTGGAAAGACAAAGACCAGCTTAATGCAAAGAGGTAATTTACTCTTTACAAAATCAAGAACATATGAAACAAAATGACAGCAATAAATGGTCAATTTCAATGCAGTGTTTAGAAGTCTACAAAAAGCTTTCTTTCAGAACAAACATACATGTTAATCATGAGGTTGGAAGCCTCTGAGGTTGTCCCATGTTCATCTTGCAGGTACACTCTCCAACCTCTGAGTTTTAAAACCAAAATCAGCAAGTAAAATCTGGAAGGAAATAATGGGTGCTCCGAAAATTAACTGAAGCATTGTATTCATTACATTCCTTAACTAATACCTTCCCTAAAAAGTTTGAATGTGCATAGGTGAATTTTACAAACTGATAAACTTCAACTTGGGCATCGAATCCTTTAAACGTTCCAGCGAAAACAATTATTCATGCACCACTAATTTGAAGATAACAAAAACCTGAACCAGTTTATCAAAAGGGTACCAGCTTCACGATTGTTTATATGATTGAAAAAATGTCAAGAGAAATGTTTCACCTTTCGGCAGCTCGAACCGCGAGCCTTCCAGCAACAGAACGAACTTTGTTTGACTGAGGCGTCTCCTTCCCATCCCAAGATTTGGGCAACCCAATTATAAATTCGTCAATCTCCTACAAGTTTTCCATCATTTTCTATCGAGCACCACCAAAAAAAATTTTCGTATCTAAGAATTCAGAGACGAAATCTACCTCCTTTTCCGCAATCTCAATCAGCTGCATTTCAAGCTTTTGTCCTCTCAATCTCAGAACCTACTAATCAAATCACGGTTGTCCATAATTTTGCCTCAATCGAAAGCTTTTAAACCAGATTAAAAATCAACATAAAAATGAGAGACATATAAGAATTTGAGTGAAAAGCTTGGAAGTGATACGAATCAGTGGAAATCTAATCACCGTAAGAGGACGAAAAGCGAAGCCCTTACTTAGGGCAAGGCCGGTGCGGGAAAATCCCAAGTCGACTCCCAGACTGAATCCTCCTCGCCATTGCGGGTCGCACTTACGGCGAAGAGCATTCGGCGGAATTTCTTCTAGGGACGAAACAGTCGCTTCTCTTGGCCCATAATTACGGGTTCGAATTGAAGGTAAGTGAAGTGAGGTGGGGGGAAATTCGAACTTCAGAGACAGAGAGGTCTTGAGAGAGGGAGCTATTGAGACATTGAGAAAACACTGTTGTAGCGAACACATTTGTGAGAGAAAGCGAGACACAGAGCAGGAGAAATGGAAGCCAGAGCTAGAAGCTTCTTCTTGTCGATAAAACGGATGGAGGGTTGAGTCGAGAAGTTTTTGCCCTGTCTCAAAACGCACCGGTTAAGCAGCTAATTTGCCTGAACTCTCAAATGCTCTCTAGGACTAGAAATTTTAAGCATTCAATTCAAGTTTAAATTTAATTTCAATGATTATTCATTTTCTGGAAGGTAGTAATATAAATTTTCTTACAATCCCTAGACAAAATTTCATTTTAAGATATTAAACTCACATTTCTCTAATTTTTAAATATATCTTCTATTAATTTATAATTTTCCTTATATATTGTACAGAGCATATCTGATAAACAGCATTGTCAAAGTTAGAGGTGACATGTTGAGGTGATGTAGTATTTTATACACAAATAATGGTAAAAGACGCATATTCCCCATATTTGTTCCAAGAAACATTTATATTTTATAGTATTACCATACTGATCCAGAGGAGATTCCCGAGAATCATCCACTTATACTCGCTCAATCCTCTACACTCACTCACTCCTTTCCATTGCATTCGCACCTTGCATCACAAGAACGAACGGTTGAGATCTGCCACTACCCACTCGACTGACAACAATAATCTGAGTGCACGCCAAAGTCGTTGTTGATGGTCGTACACGACCGAATATGCCTGCGCCCAATTCTCTTTGAACAGACCAATTTACAAAAATATCCTTTTAATTCCAACATAATTGCAAAATAATGTCTTATTTTGTTATAACAATATTTAATATTTTTAATTTCACTAAATTTATATTATAAATTTTCACTATATATAATTCTCTAATGATAATTTTTTTTTTTTACATAATTCGAAGTGTTAATAAATATATTATATTTTCTGATATTAAAGGCTAAAACAATTATATAAATATTGCTAAACCTTCTAAAAATTAGTCAAAGAATTATTAAATAAAAAATTGTTTAAATAAGTACAAAAGAAAGGGTATTTTTATTATTGCATTTAATCGAGAGGGTAGTTTTGTAAATTAATGAATTTAGATTTGAATTTCTTTTACTAATTTTGTAACTCCCACTTCATCACGCCAAGCATATGCTCCCTAATATTCTACTAATCACTAATAAAATCCACCGGTTTGGTTAGTAATAATAAAAATAATGAGATGAAGTTCGGTAAGAGATTGAAGCAGCAGGTTGAAGAAACATTGCCGGAATGGCGGGACAAGTTCTTGTCCTACAAAGAGTTGAAGAAGCTGGTTCGCTTGATTTCTTCCGCCCCGATCTCCACCGCCTCATCCGTCGACTACGGCAAGGCCGAGGCCAAGTTTCTGTTCTTGTTGCACAATGAGATCGACAAGTTTAACGCGTTTTTCATAGAGCTCGAGGAGGATTTCATTATCCGCCATAAGGTTAGTGTTCTTAGTTTTTTCACTACTCGGATAATTAATTTTGGCGTGAATGATCTTTGTGTTTTAAGGCGAGACACGTATATTGATGGCTAAAAACTCGAGTCAGTAGATTTGCACGAAATTGTTGGTAACTCAACTCGGATTTCTTAAAATGGATGGTTGCTGTTGCTGCAACCAAGAAAGGGAAAAAAGAGGAGGAATTACACGTAGTTTGGCAACTGGAAAGGATATTTTCATTCTTTTACAATTTTAATAGTATTTCCAAGATAATTAAATTTATTATTTAAAAAATAAAATTAAAATTACAGGTTTGTTGAGTCAAATCATATATAATTTACTTGTATAAATAATTATTCATAAGCTCTGCTAAAAACCAAAATTTTCAACTCTAAGCTTTTAGTTTTTTTTTTTATTTTTTGTAAAATGATCTCCGAGCTTCTTAGTTGTTATAAACATATATATATATATATATATATATATATTAGATTAGAGTTTGGGGAGACTGAATATATTGTGGACATTAATTGTTTAGTTGCAGTAATAATTTAAAAAAAAAATTATATTTTCACTATTAAAAATTAAATCTTATTTATTTAGTATGAAAATCTTAAAGTCATCAAATTGCAAAATAGAGAAATAATTAGCAAAATGCTGAAATTGTTTTTAGGGTAAACCTTTTGATAATCAAATCATAATAGTTTGGGAAGAATGAACTATTGGAAATATTACTTTTATTTTTATTCAAATATTGCAAGGTAGTATTTCAAAATTTGAACATCAACATATATAGAAGTCTTATAGTGATATCAATCTTCAAGTAATTTCTTGTCTGAGTATTGCTTGATCCTCATAAGATATTTATGCTATCAGTAATTTAAGTTAATGAAGCTAACAAAGAAATATGAAAATTGTTCAAGTTATCCATGAATTTTAAGGAATAATATCTAACTTTTAAGAGTCAATTCACAAATTGAGGATTGTTACGTACTTATTTCGTATCAAGAAATGTTGTGAGTTAATCGTTTTCGAAAATTTTTTCAAATGAATTGGCAGTTTGGAAATAAATTGATTTTTTTGTACGCCGGTAATATTCCTAACTCTACCACTGACCATTTTTTATATACATTGTAATGAGATGAATTAACAATGTAGGTGCTTCAAACTAACAATATAGGTGTTTTTATTTATAAAAAGAATATAATATAATATTTTTAACATTGATATTTTTTTATATAAAAAATATAATATACAGATTTATGAATTAACACATAAATAAAATGATTAATAAAGTGAATTATAGATTAATATGACATTCTTATCTTTACCTATCTCGACAAATAAATAGGTAGAATAAATTTTGATGAAGTAATAGTATTCTAACAAAAAGATAAAAATTAATAAAATATTAAATAGATAAGAATAGGATAAGAATATATTGTTATGTTCAATATCATACACAACAAACGCATAATCTTTGCTCACTTTCTATTTAATGATATATATTTGTCTTGTTTTGTAATACTTTATAAATACACTAACCCAGATATTATTACAGTACAACTTTTCTATATTAAAAGATAGTTTGGTTTCCTCAATAAAAATGGCATGATTGATGTCTAGAAAGCTACTGTGATTGATTATAATTATAATATCTTTGAGAATCCTATTTTTTATTTTTATTTTCAGTAAGTTATATAATACCTCAATTTCTATAATAAAATATTTAATGTAGAATCAGAAATACAAACAATTACTAAAGAGATAACAATTTGTAGATTTTAAGTTTTACCCCAGAAGAAAAATTCTAGATTTAAGTGAATTAATTATTTAATTATTTACAGAGAATTGGGATATTAATTAATGCAGGAATTACAACAAAGAATTCAGAAAGTGAAGGAAAGATGGGAGCCTTCAGAAAGTGAGTACAAAGAGGAAATGGGGAAGATGAGAAAAAACATTGTCAACTTTCATGGTGAAATGGTGCTGTTGATCAACTATAGCAACATCAATTACACAGGTTATATATATAAATACTTAAAACACATAATTAATTAATTTCAATCATATATGGAGTCTTAAAATTTTATTTATGATGTTTTCTGTTTAGTTCAATTATCTTTTATTTTCATTAAATTTTTAAATCTTATTTATTTCGTTTATGTTTTAGGTCCATAGCTGAACTAATTTAACTCAATTTTTTTTTTTATAAATGAATTATAAAAAAAACACTTAATTTAAATCAAACCTGGAATTGACTTGTGAAATAATTCTGCTTTTATTTAAACTTTTATTCCTTTTCATACTGTACTCTTATCTATGTTTTACTAAATTAGAATTTGAGCCAAATTTAGGATTAGCGTTGAAACTTTTATTTTATTTTTTTGTAGGGTTAGCGAAGATCTTGAAGAAGTATGACAAGAGAACAGGAAGGTTACTCCGGCTGCCATTCATCAAAAAAGTTGTGCAACAACCATTTTTCATGACGGAAGCCATATCGAAACTGGTGAAAGAATGTGAAAATACCATAGACTCAGTTTTGCCGATGCCGGGGAAAAAGGTGATGAGAAAAGACATAAGAGTAGGTGTAGAAGGAATATTTAGAAACACAGTTGCAGCTTTACTGAGCATGGAAGAGATTAGAAGAGGCAGCTCTACTTACAGTCATTTCTCTCTACCTCCCCTAAACTTGCCTGATTCTGATCTTATTCATTCATTTCAACTCAAATCTCCTATACCTATTATCTAACTATATATCATCAAAACTATAAATAAGTTGAAATACTCAAATAATTTAGTTATATTATTTATCTCCCACACATTTTATAATTAACCTTGTATTTTTGCCTTTTGTTTTATCTACGTACTAATGGTATTGATGAGTGCTTTGTCTCAAAAATATTGCAAGAATGTATTGTTCTTTAATTACCAAAGACTTTGGCCTGCAATTTTATTAAGTACAATATTTTCTTGAAACAAATCAAGAATTGTTATAGAAGTTATTTAGAATTTTATACATTATTTAATTAAGAAATAGTGAAATTTTAATTTAAGATAAATGGAGTTTGATGATATACTTTGAAACTAACTAAGAGTTCACTTTATAAAAAAAATTATGTTGATTATACTTGAACTAAATGTAAATGTTGAGATGTGTTTTCAAATATTTTGATTCGTTCCAAACAAAGCATTAGTATTGATAAACTTTATATGAAAGATTTAAAGCTTATTTAGTACACACCCCCAAATATTTTTATGTAGAAAATTAAATTTTATACAATCTAAATATATTTGGTGTTTTAATAATCATCTACATTCTTATAATACTTTTTCTCTTGTTCTAAAAAATTATATTCAGTGTTAGTAAATCTTGCGTTAAAAAAAAACATTAATATAATTTTACATAATCACATCAGATGGATTGATTCAAAATAAGGCTTGCTTCATCTTGGTAAATAAGGCCATCATTCCTAAAAAGAAAGAAAACTTTGAAGCCTCACCCTTATAAAGAGTTTGACAAAGATTTGACTAGCATTGAGAGAAAACATAAGTTAGGTTATTAGATTGTATCAAAATAGACAATTTTTGTTCTTCATCTCATAATATAGGTAGATAAATTTCTAGCAAAAACTTTATAAATACTGGTAAAATATTTTCAAAATGGCATTCAATCCCATTTTTCTCCATTAAACATGTCTAGTATTCCAATTGTTAACTTAGTGTTAAAGACATTATATTGAATTTCTTACCATACGCTTTTAAGTTATAAATTATTAGTATAAAATTCAATCGTCATGATAAAGATACTTCGATAATTTGGCACCTACTTTGAGGTTATGATTCCTTTTAAAGCTTTTATACATATAAGATTTCACTTTAGTTTGCGCTCATGGCATTCATTCTTAATAACTTATCCAAGATTCCTTTAAGTATTCCTTGATAAACCAATATTAGCCAAAACTACCAATAGTTAATGGTGTTTGGTAAGGATGTAAATGATTGTTTTTCCTTTATCAACACGTATACCACCTAACATGATCTTTTTGATATGAGGATACCTAAGGCCAAATATCACTTTCCCATCTGAAAGGCTTGCCCTCAAAAGCAGAAA